GTGAAAACTGTAGTTTGTTATTATGAATTCTCAGTGTTCATAATTAATGTGGAAATGTAGTGTAGATGTAGTATGTCTAAAATTCACTCATACTACAGTACACACATTCATAATGTAGTAGAACATACTTTTTATACAGTTGTGTAGTAAGTTCTTATTCAAATGTAATACTTTCTAAGGGTGTGCTTTACACTTAGCAGGTTGTGTTCGATTAAAACAAACTCTGGTACAGTTGCTCTGTTAGTGTGGTTCACTTGAATAAGAGTGAATGCTGCCATCCTAATCTTGGTGCGCATCAAACACGCAAACTGAGATCCCCTGAAAAAGTGGTTCTTGGCCTGCTTCCAAATGAACTCTGGTGCGGTTCAGCCGATATGTGTATAAAACCAAAGACCAAAGACATCTAATCAACCCCAAAACAGGACGTGATGTCACAAGTTGTGACCCTAAAGAGGACAGAATGATCAAGCATGGTTCTTTTTATCATAGGAGCTTTGCTGCCCATTACATTTTGGTACAGGCGTCAGAACTGCTGTCTCATTACAGCAGATATGTGTGCAATGGAGACATTGCTGGATCTGTTTTGACTCCTATACACATTTTATAAGTTCTTGGTGTGTTATAAGCTGGAAAAAATAACACTTTTAAACACATACAATGAGTGCATTTAGCCCAGCACACAGCATTGTTTTAGATGTTTGGTAAATTTGCAAGATACAAGTCATATAAGCTGTCCAATCAGGTTATGACCATAGATTTATACCTTATGCTTTGTATCTTTAGGTTCAGTGTTAAAAATGACAGCGTGAGCGCAAAGCCAACCAAAGGACCAAAAGAACCAAGAGAGTCAAACTACAAGTATAAACCACTGCATATGCATGTTTTTTTCTTCAGTGTAACGCAAGAGAATATATTTTGAAGCATTTTGTGCATACGTCAGTTTAAAGTCAGTGGGGTCTGTTGTTGTTTTGGACCCTGTTCAGTTTTATTTTATGGACAAAAACTGTTGAAACTTCTTTAAAATACCTTCCTTTGTGTTGCACAGAAGAAAAAAAGTCAATACAGGTTTGGAAAGAAATAAGGGTGGTTAAAAGATGCCAGAATTTTAATTTTTGGCTGAAATATCACTTTAAGCATTGACACACAGAGATGATTTAACCTCAGGATACTGCTGGTAGTCACAGGCAAACTTAATGCTTCAATGAACCCCGGCCCAGTCTAGCTTCAGGGGAATAACCCCATTCTTGTGAAGCATCTGCATTGAAACAGACAGAATACAGTGTAGCTGGTTAAGACTACACTGCTTCAATCAAGAAATCAATCATTCCCTGCTTGTTAAGTTTGTCTAAATAGGTTGTAAATTCAGCATTCTTATTTTTGTAGTGTGCAATTATAATTACCAGTTTCAGTCTCGCCATTGCGCTTGGAATAGTAATTATTACACAGAGAGGCAGAGAACATTTCCACATAAACATGAGCAGGCTCCGATGGAAATATGGTGAAATGAAAAGGTGATGATGGCTTCCTATAATTCTAATAATGACCGGCAGATGAAGACTGCATTAACATTTGGTGGTTAACGTTCATAACTCTTCGACTCTGCGGCATCACTTAACATTTCTATATTATTGCCACAAAGTCCTCTGTCTCACCTCATGTATATTTCATGAGTGTTGCTCTTTTCCTTACCATTTAGTTCTTTGTGGAGTGCAAATACTGGGAACTGATGAGCAGGTCATTGTATGGGTAATTTTTAGGAGAGGCAAGTTTTGAGATTTTCATTTTTCCTTTTTCCTCTCAAGATTCCTTTAAATTATCGCTATAAACAGAGGCGGTTTGCTCTTAATTAGATGTTTTTATTCACCAGAATGACCAATTCCAGAGGGAAAGAATGCAGCAAAACAAAAAAAGTTTAACAGTAGCTCTGTTGCAAATAGCTGTGATATTGCTGTAATTGGAAAGTTATTGTTTAGAGACAGGTCTAACATGCTGTGTAACCATCAGGTAAATGCTAAAATCCGTTTTCTTACACTTTAAATGCTCCATTTAAAAAAGTTTTTAAACATATTTTCAAGAAAAATATATATTTTTTATTAATATTTCTACTTTAAATAATGAACATTTAAGATGTTTATTACTCCTTCTGACCTGAACAAAACCTGACTTTTCATAGAAAGGTCAAAATATATGGAGTCTTGAATATAACACAAACATCATGATTTTTGGTAGAATTGCACAGTTTGACCTAAACTAAACTTGCTGTTCGATAAGAAGGTTTAACTATGTGGTATATATTATTCAAATGTTTGAGGTCAGTTTTTTTTATGTTTTTGAAAGATTCTTACAAAGGCTACATTTATTTGACCAAAAACGTTTTTGCAAATAAAATCACTGTTTTCTGTTTGAATATGTAATAAAATGTAATTCATTCCTGTAATGAATGCAAAGCTGAATTGCAACATTTCAGTGTCAAATGATCCTTCAGAAATCATTCTCATATGCTGATTTGGTGTGACAATTATTAATGCCAGTTGGGCTGCTTAATATTTTTGTGGAAACTGTTTTGTGGATGATGATACACGGGGCAACTTTTTGAGCAATTTTGCCAAGCAACTTTTTTTTGAGCAATGTTGCTTGGGCACTTTCCCACTGAGAATGGGTAACAAATTTCTATCTGGATACTTTAGAACGGTTGTGGGCCCTGTGTCTCACCTGGGTGCCCATTGATGGCAACATTGCTCAAAAAGTTGCCCCGTGTATCATCAGCCTGATACTTTTTTGTGTATTCTTTGATGAATGGAGAGTTCAAAAGAACAGCATTTGTTTGAAATATGTTTTATAACATAATGAATGTTTTTTTTTTTTACTATTGCTTTTGATCAATTTAGTGCATCCTTGCTGAATAAAAGTGTTAATTTCTTTAATAGAGCAGTAGTATAAAAAAACAGCATTTATCTGAAATATAAAGCTTTTGCAACATTATAAATGTCTATACTGTTGCTTTTGATCAATTTAGTGCATCCTTGCTGAATAAAAGTGTTAATTTCTTTAATAGAGCAGTAGTATACAGCAAGTAAATATATATACCATTCAAAAGTCTAGGCTCAGTAAGATTTTTTCCCCCCTAAACTTTTGAATGGTGTGTGTGTATTTTAAAAGAACTCTTCAATAACCTCTATTGGTTTTTTTGTCCCATGAAAATGAAGTGGATTTTTAGTTTAAGTAATGATAATATTTGATTTTATTAGTATTTTTAATAAATTTTTTATATATTAAGAAATAAAAATAAAACATTTGACTACCTCTTTCACCATATTTCAGCCTCTTTAATGCTTTTCTTTTTTATAATCTCTAGACAGTTACACACATGCATTTATTACACTATGCCCTACAAAATATATCAATGTGACTTTTGTTATAGAAAACACGTATTTCAAATGAAAAATGTATTTATGTTTGGGGGAATTAAATTTTTTTAAAATCTATTTTTGACTAGTCCAGTAGGTGTGCACACTAGAGTAACCTGTTTAATCCGAGCACTTTGGTCTTATAGAGCACGGTCGACCACTTCTTCCTTTCTCTTAGGTTAGCAGTTGAAATGAAATACAAATTGTAATACTCGAGCCATTTAATCGAGGGCACTATTAGATTATGTACGGTACAAACTTTGCGCGAAGCCTGAAGTTGTTCCAGTTGCTGACGCTAGGAGCTGTCCGCGGTACTGAAACGGCTCGACTCAGTCTGAGAGGTGCTGACAGAAATTGAACATTCTCTGGCTCTCTCCTCCGTTCACAATTATAAATCTGACCAGAGCTCCCCGTCTCGCGCAGCGACCTCGTTCCTCACGGCACGGAACGTTTGCGTCCTGCTCCTCTTTAATTATTCGGAAAGTGTTTTAATACAAGGACATATTCTGTGATAGGAGCCCACTGCCGCGAGCATGAACTCGACAAGAAATTACAAACCAAACATGGTCATTCTGATTCTGGCCGTATTTGCTTTTTTCCCCCCTAAACTTTTGAATGGTGTGTGTGTATTTTAAAAGAACTCTTCAATAACCTCTATTGGTTTTTTTGTCCCATGAAAATGAAGTGGATTTTTAGTTTAAGTAATGATAATATTTGATTTTATTAGTATTTTTAATAAATTTTTTATATATTAAGAAATAAAAATAAAACATTTGACTACCTCTTTCACCATATTTCAGCCTCTTTAATGCTTTTCTTTTTTATAATCTCTAGACAGTTACACACATGCATTTATTACACTATGCCCTACAAAATATATCAATGTGACTTTTGTTATAGAAAACACGTATTTCAAATGAAAAATGTATTTATGTTTGGGGGAATTACATTTTTTTAAAATCTATTTTTGACTAGTCCAGTAGGTGTGCACACTAGAGTAACCTGTTTAATCCGAGCACTTTGGTCTTATAGAGCACGGTCGACCACTTCTTCCTTTCTCTTAGGTTAGCAGTTGAAATGAAATACAAATTGTAATACTCGAGCCATTTAATCGAGGGCACTATTAGATTATGTACGGTACAAACTTTGCGCGAAGCCTGAAGTTGTTCCAGTTGCTGACGCTAGGAGCTGTCCGCGGTACTGAAACGGCTCGACTCAGTCTGAGAGGTGCTGACAGAAATTGAACATTCTCTGGCTCTCTCCTCCGTTCACAATTATAAATCTGACCAGAGCTCCCCGTCTCGCGCAGCGACCTCGTTCCTCACGGCACGGAACGTTTGCGTCCTGTCTTTAATTAAACCTGTTTAATCCGAGCACTTTGGTCTTATAGAGCACGGTCGACCACTTCTTCCTTTCTCTTAGGTTAGCAGTTGAAATGAAATACAAATTGTAATACTCGAGCCATTTAATCGAGGGCACTATTAGATTATGTACGGTACAAACTTTGCGCGGAGCCTGAAGTTGTTCCAGTTGCTGACGCTAGGAGCTGTCCGCGGTACTGAAACGGCTCGACTCAGTCTGAGAGGTGCTGACAGAAATTGAACATTCTCTGGCTCTCTCCTCCGTTCACAATTATAAATCTGACCAGAGCTCCCCGTCTCGCGCAGCGACCTCGTTCCTCACGGCACGGAACGTTTGCGTCCTGCTCCTCTTTAATTATTCGGAAAGTGTTTTAATACAAGGACATATTCTGTGATAGGAGCCCACTGCCGCGAGCATGAACTCGACAAGAAATTACAAACCAAACATGGTCATTCTGATTCTGGCCGTATTTGCTGGCGTGTGGATGGCACGAGGTCAAGGTAAGGATTTACATTTGTAATTCTAAACATTTGTTCTGCTGTCCACGCGATTAGCGGAATAGGGTACGCGCAGCTCCACAGACCCCGACGGGTAGACACATTTCTCACTGTATTGTACATTTGTTGGCGGAGAAAAAACTCCAGCAGATTTGTGTCGAGGAGGTTTATTTAAGACGTTCCACTAATACTTTGGTTGCACGCGAGCAGAAATGTTCTCTCATCACGCATTTCAGAACAGATGCACTCGTAAGTCACAAAGTCATCGGCGTAATTGTGATAAAGCACGCACAGGATGGACAGCACCGCGCCTGACAGTGTATTTCCTGTTCGCTCCACTCTCTTTCGTATTTATTTACAGCATTGTATTATTTTTATTCGAGCCAGAGATCTATAAGTTTCAGTCTCTCGTTTTCATTTCCCATTTTTCTTGTGTAATGGCTGTAAGTTGTCATTCAGTTTAATGTGATGTAAAGTAGTACACAAGCCATATATTTGGTTATAGATTTATCTGATCAGTGTTTTAAAGTGATCAATAACAAGCCGGAAAATTTGAGGTTCAACAGGTTTTTAATTTGGAGATCACAGTGTGTTAAGACTAAGAAACATTATTTATTTACTGATTTAGAAGTGAAATGTACTTTCAGTGATGTGCACCTTCACAAGTTATCGTAAAATGTATTTTATTTTAAGGAAAATTCTAACAAGTGTTCTTATTTAAATCTCTTAGACGACTATTTAATTTATTGTCACAGAAAGAAAGCAATATAATCACAAAAAGGTGTTTAACTAAAGCACAGTGTTTGGAACATGAGAATTATGGAGATGACAGTTTAAAATTGAATTGGTCTTTTCTAATATAAACTGTAGGCCTGTTTCATCCTGATTTCCTTTACAGTACAAGTGAGTGACATCTTCTGTACAGTTTTCATGTTTCATATCAAATATTTGTCACTTAACATAGGGGACTATGTTACATTCTTGCCAGTAATATCTGATGTTGATATTTGACATGAGTTTCTCAGGATTTGCATTAGTTTTGAGGATTATATCAGTACAGAGCTTTTCAAAGTTCATGTTCATTTTTAAAACATCATAAAAATCATACAATACATGCATAATATAACACTAAATGCTAGCCATGCATTTTGCTCACTGAAACCTGCTACAGTCATTTTCAAGGCACAGAGTAGTCCATGTTGCACTTCATTTTCACTCCGGAAAGCTGTTGTACACTACCTCAGAGCTCTGTGTTGTTTTTAGCTTTTGTCTGAAAATTCCCCTCACTCTTTTTTTTGTCTTACTGTAAAAGCTCTGCGAGCAATACAAGGGATAATCCAGTGTTATTTGTCAAGAGCTGCTCCATGAGAGATGCGCAGCACTCAATTTTCTGCGTAAATGTTCTATTCGGTTTCATTTTCCTTTAAAAATAAGAACTGCATGTCAACCAAATTATATTTTTTAATCTATACATAATTTCCGTCTTGACGTTCTTCCAATTCAAGAATACCTTTGCACTTTTACTCACCTGTCACTCGCTGCTGCAGAGACACTTTTGAAGCAATCTTCTCACAAGTCCCTTATCATTCGGGAAGAATCTTTCATTTGCAAATGTGATATGTTTCATAGTTTTAGGTGGCAGAATTTAAATTGCGCTTCATATTTGAGACAGAGTGTTCCCAGCCTGAGTCTGTTGTCTCAGACTCATCTTTTCTGTCTGTACTAATTACATTTTGCACTGTATTGATTACATATTGGTGATTGGAATATTGACCTTTCTGCTTTGAGAGGTGTATGAGTCAGTGTTTTCCGATCAGTCACCTTCAGGACGGGTGTGATGAGGCTTCAGGGCTGCGCGCTGAATGGCTCTTACCTTGAAAAGCACTCTGACTAATGCACAGCTCCATCATTCCACATTGAGCACAGACAGCAGGCTAAAAGCAGGGCCCACCACTCACAAATGGATGATGGGCTATACAAGAAACGCAGGAAAGTCAGTGGGTCAATTTGCTCGAGTCTGTGCTGTCCTTTTGTGATAGATGTAAATACTCATTTAGTGTATGCACACCAGGAAACGCACACAGGAAAAGATGAATGTTAATGTGTAAAAAAATCTGTGACTCATGTTACGGATGTTTTGAACAAGGCAACGGTGCATTTGCAAGTATGAATGTTTTTAAATGAGGTTCACTGGCATACAGGACAGCCCCACGGCTCCCTCATGGCATTGTGAGCAAATGATATCTGGTTAAATTTGTAATCTGCAGCAGTGTCTACTACATACAGTAGCTGCATATAAGCATATACAGTATGTATATATGGTGCATAAGTGTACATGAAATGAATGAATATTGTTTTGCATGAACAAACCGAAAGAAATCATGTGTGCTGATTGTCATGACAGAGCAGCTGGTGTAAAGATGTTGTAGGAACCTTTACCAGCTGCTTCCCTGTAATGCAACGTTAAGATTTTAATGGAGCTCCATTCTAGAATCTTTGCTGCGGAATCACTTCTCTCGTTTACAGCAGATTTACACTTTGACAGAAACCTATTAATCAAAATATTTGAACACGGCAATGAAAATGCATAATAAAGATAAAAGAAATAGGGAAGTTTACGGTTTTGAGAAAAATATGCTAGGAAATTTTCACATTTTGTTGTATAAAATCAACTCATACCTCCTACATGAATTTTAAAGTTGCTAGCATGTTTCTATACACTGGAAAGAGTACATACTGAACATACCATAACGCAACAAACTGAATTAAACATGAAATTTTGAAATATTACTTCAGTTTTAAAGATTGTAGTATTTTTTTGTAAAATGTATACTAGTATACCTGTTTTATTTACAACTTCGAAAAATCTTTTTTTAAGGTGTACAAGTCCCACAACGGTTGTCTCATTCATCAAGCATGTAAACTCAGATCCTTGTAGTAGCTGTAGTCCATATTTAGCCACTTGTTAGCAAACACAGCGGCATTAAAATCCACATTTGAGGTATGACTGTAGTGCCGAATGGTCTCATAGCAGCGCAAGTAACATAGCACAGTGCTGGAGAAGAAGGACGGAAGGGGGAGTGATTGTCAGCTTGACCTCTTGACCCCCCCACACACACACTCACTCAGCTGAGGTTCAGCTGGAGTTATGAGGTTGAGCGTCTGCTCTCATAGTCTTTATTACGACCCTGATAAATGAGTCGACTGGATGGCCTCCCACTGCAACTTCTGTAATGCTGACAAATGGTCAGCTGGGACGGCGCTCAGCAGACAGTACTGCTGGGAGAAATCTGGACGCTGCCAGGGTGCCCCGTCCCCCCCGCCGTCAGCACAACTGGCACATATACACCACGGGCGTTTCCTCTGAGGAGGCAAGGGAGGCAGTGCCTCCTTGAAAATTCGTAGAGAAAATATCCGTAGTCCAGAAATAAAATAATTATGAAAATTATAGCATGAAAAAAACGTATATAAATCAACTAATTTTTATAGCATACGTAACATAAAAACATGAACACTGGCTTTGGGGGGGTAACTGAGAACGAATGGGGAAACGTCTCTTAAGAGGAGGCAGTGCATCCATTGCACTATGACTGGCCTATTACGCAGTTAATTTGATAAATCCTGTCTCGTTTTCATGGGTTTAAATGAATAAATATAATGTGAAGACTAATTAAAAAGGAAGTAAACAACTCACCTACATAGATATCATGTAAAAATCTAACTTGAAACGAGTTGAAAACACGATCTGTAAGGGTTTCTTGGTGAGCAGTCAGCTTCTTAGTGATCAGGTTCATTTCTGTGTCTGTGACCATCGTGACACTTTTTACCTGTCAGTGTTTATTGAGCTTTGATGAATGATGATCCCAAAATACATTGACTATTAAAAGAACATCAGTTCACAAATAAAATAAACATGAAATTAGAATGTTGTTACTGTTTTTATAGTTATTATTTTGGAATACGTGTAAAATGCTTAATATTAACTTGAAAAGCTTGAAAATCTGGAAAATGTGCCAACAATAAAAGGGATAAATCACCCAAAAACGAACATTTTGTCATCATTTACTGACCCTCATGTTGTTCCAAACCTGCGTGAATTTCTTTATTCTGTTGAAACCAAAAGAAGATATTTTGAAGAATGTTGGTAACCAGACAGTTTCTGGGGGAAAAAAATACTTTGGAAGTCAAAGGCTGTTTGGTTACCAACATTCTTCAAGATATGTTCTTTTGTGTTCATCAACTTGAGGGGGAGTAAATGATGACAGAATTTTTATTTTTGGGTCAATTATCCCTTGAAGTGTAACTGGAATATTAGTTTACATTGAATTAAAATAAAGCGTATGAAAAACAGTGAGGACTTTGCCTTAGATTAGTGTTTCCCAACCTTTATTTAGTCGCGGCACCCTTTGGAAATTTTAACAAACTTGTGGCACCCTACAAAATTAATTTTGTCACAATATTTGAATTTCTAACTTCGATATGATAATTTGAAAAGTATAGATATTCGGTACAACAGGGAAGAACTGCAGAATATAATGTCATACAGATATTTTTAATATTATAAAAAAAAAATTGTCCATCAATGGTGGCAATCAGAAGGCTAATTTCTAATGAAGAGACCAATTTATATGACAGATTTTAATGTAGGCCTTTATTCATATGTAAACATTGTGAGATAGCTAGTTATAATGGTAATTAAACAAAGTTTTGATTTTACAGCTGGGTAATTTTGTTGCAGTAGCACGAGATAGCTTGATTTCAAACTTTGAACTGAATAAAAAATGACAAGTAAGCAGTCAGTAATAAAATAAGAACAAATAAAGAAATTACTAATGATAGCACAAATAAAAAAAAATCACGATAGGCCTACAAATGAAATAAATTGCTTTTTAGTTTTTCAGGTAGGTCTAACACACAGTAGAGCTATTAAGAGATTTTTTTTTAAATGTTTTACCAATTATCCAAATAATGTTTAGTCCTAGAAAGCTATTATTATCAGAA